AATATTGTTTAAAAAAGAAATGCTCATCCTAAATTTTTAAATTTTTGCTATATTTATATTCTCTCTCTCTCTCTCTCTGTGTGTGTGTGTGTGTTTGCACATGCATGCAATGTATGTGTAGCTGAGACCAGAGGCCAGTTTTTAGGAGTCTGTTATCTCCTTTCCCCCATATGGGTACCAGGAATCTCTGCCTGCCAAGCTATCTTATCAGCCCTCATAATTAAACCTTTACATGAAAACAAAACAAACAAACAAAAAAACAAAGAAACTAGAATAGTCAAAACAATTTTGAAAAGAAATAATAAAAATGAAGGACTCACTTTCCCCACTAATAAATTTCTAGGAGCACATGCCTTAGCATGTTTGTGAGCGCATACACGCAAGAAGTGAATAAATAACATACACTTTAACCCCAGCACTCAGGAGGCAGAGGGAGATGGATCTCTGTGAGTTTGAGGCCAATCCGGTCTACAGAGAAAGTTCCAAGACAGGCTCCAAAGCAATACAGAGAAACCCTGTCTCAAAAAACAAACAAACAAACAAACAAAAACCCAAAAACAAAAACCAAAAAAGAGGAAAGAAAAAAGATAGTATACTGTTGATGCAGAAATAATCCCATATTCATAACTGCTGTGGCTTTGAGTTAAAGCAACTCAATGATAATTTAATAGCATTTCCATAAATGCTAATGAAATATTGAATATTTATATACAAAAATGTGATTCCATATAAATCCTACACTATTAAAAGAAACTAAAAAATGAAGCTATGAACACTTCAGAGAAAAGCAGAAGATAAACGTTTTGGCTTTGGAATTAGGCCAAGGTTCTTAAATTAAATTACTAGAATTCTGGCCAATAAATAGGATTTTATTAAGATTTCTTTTTATAATAAAATTATGTATAGAAAATAATAAACTTTATTATTCTGTTCTACAGAAGACATTTGAACTGGGTGTGGCTGTGCACACCTGTGAGCTCAGCACCTGGGAGGTGGAGATAGATTAGGAGTTCAAGTCCAGCCTTAGCTGCATAGGTTATCTCAAAGCCAGCCTGGGCCTCAAGACCTCATCTTTGAAAGAAAAAGAAAAAAAGCAGTTTAAAGAAGCTACAAATGGTGAAACTATTTTTAGTTAGCTTGTATTTAGAATCTAGAAAAGAAAGCTCCAAACTGAACAAGAACACGAACAGTCCATCCTGAAATCAGGCAAGGTGGCATTGCAGCTCATGACTATAGCCCAGGCTACTGGCAAGTCTGAGGTGACAGGGTACCTTGAGCCCACAAAGTGGACATGTGATGACTTCCATCTCACAAACAAAACCAAATGGAAGGTAGCTTGAATTGCACTTGCTTCAGCCAATCACAGTGCAATTGGCATCCAATGTCAGTCATTAGGAAAATATAGACATAAATCATGCCGGGGGCTGAAACCCCTAGTAAATGTTCGCACTGGAAAGGGAGCAGCTGGGTCTTTCATAGGCAGCTGGTGGAATACATCAGCTATGAAACAGTTTTAAAATTTCTTGAAATGTTAAGCATTCATTTTCCATTTGATTCAGCAATCCCACTCCTACATATTCATACTGGAGAAAAGAAAATTTATATTGTACAAAATTCTGTGTGAAGCTTTTAAAAATGATTGTTATTTATTTATTTATTTGTGTTTTTGGAGATCACCCAAACAAACTTTTTGGTTGTTTAATTGGTGGGGGTTTTGTTGTTGTTGTTGTTTTTGTTTTGTTTTTTTTTTTTTTTTTTTTTTTTTTTTTGAGACAGGGTTTCTCTGTAACAGCCCTGATTATCCTGGAGTGTGCTTTGTAGATCAGGCTGGCCATGAACTCACAGAAATCCTCCTGAGTGCTGGATTAAAGGAGTGTGCCACCATGCAAGGCTGATCATCCAGCTTTAAATGGTAAAGCTTTTAGTGGCTGAGCCAGGTCCCTTCCCTGACCCATGATCCTCTGCTCATGATAGCAAAATCTAGAAAAGACACCATGGATGTTGTTCTATAGGTGAACTGATAAAGTGTGTTCATTCTTAGACTGGACAGTATTTGCCAATACAAGGACACTAAGCTGGTTTTGGTCAGTGTTTTATCACAGCAAAAGATGGCAAACTAGAATACCACCATTTCATACACCCATGCTTTCACTGAATGCACACATGATAACACACACAGTTCTGTACTTTGACATATATACACACATTCATACACACACTGTAACACTGAAATACCTCAACACATGCACACACACACCTACCACCATACACACAACCATGCATTCGTATATACACAGAATAAGACACACATGCTAATACACACACACACTCGCATATTCTGAAATATGCAAACACCCATTCACCTTCATCACATAGAAGACAATTGTGAACTCACAGACACACGCATGCATTCCTGCACTCACACAGATATACCCCTATAATGTCAATCTTAGATGTCATAAAAGTCAGCAAAGTGAGAACATTTACAAAGAGGAATCTAGACAGGGCTCCTCCACAGGAGCCCATACTGGTTCCACTTGGTGGCGCTCTGGCTTCTGCTGGTGAAGACCCTTGCCTATCCTAACCAAGCCCCACCATGAAAAGAGGTGATCCTGTGGGTAGGTCCCATTCTTTCCACTTGCCTGAAGGGTCTCATTGCTGGATCTGAGAGCCTTGGGGTTTATACTGTCATGAAGACTCCAGGCACATCATGGCACTTGACTCCTCACAAGTCTCATACTGAGTCCACTGTGAATTCTCCTGACCTCAATCCTCTCCTGAGTTGTAAATGACTCCATGTTGTGAATCTGAGAGGTGGGATTGCTCTGGGTCTCAGGCATCTTCTCCATAAGAATCACTAGGGATGTCTTTAAAAACAGCCCTACTTGGCATGCAACCTAGAATAACCAAGCTTTGGAGCTGCCTTCAGAGCTAAGACTGCCATCAGGACTTCCAGAAGTACCTTGTTCTACACAGCCAAGATCTGCTCAGAGACTGCCTGGCACTGGCCAGTGTTGAGCTACCCTTCAGGAGACCACAGCAGTAAAAATCAGAGGCAGAGAGGAATCTGTGTAGAGCAGGGGTCCAGGAAGCCTCTGTGAAGAGGTGCTTCTCAGAGCAGAGAGGAGAAGGAACCAGGCAACATGGGGATTCCTACCGTACATTCTTTGGGCTTACCCAGCCTGGAACTGGGAGGACAGGGGAGCTCTAACCACTCACTTTGGGTGAAGGTCAATTTCACTAGAACTTCCCCCTCCCTACAACAGGGCTTCTCTGTGTAACAGCTCTGGCTGTCCTGGAACTCACTCTGTAGACCAGGCTGTTCTTGAACTCACAGAGATCTGCCTGCTTCTGTCTCCAGAGTGTTGGGATTAAAGGTCTGCGCCGCCACCACCCACCCATCTTAATTTCACTAGAACTTTGAAACAAACGTCTATGGTGGATCCTTTTTGCTTCCTTTGGCTTCGACAGACAAAGAAGGCAATACTGAGCAGTAAGGGGGGGGGGGGGAGAGGGTGAGAAAAGCTGGCCAGAGCAGGACAGGGATTAGATCTCAGTAACTCAGGAACATGTTCAAGCCGAGGCAAGCTCAGTGCGGCCTCTGCACCCGATTCACCCATTGCCATGATCTCACTATTTCCCATGCAAGCCCCATGTGACTGATGATGCCCACCCAATTATAAATCCTGCCGAGAACAGATGGTTTAGCTCATCTCATGTCCTGCCCCTTTGCAGCCTGGGATGGAGGAGCCCATTGAAGATGTATCTTCTGTGCTTCTGGCGTTGGGCATGGGATGAAGGTTTAGTTTGGGTTTGTAATCTGCCAAACTGGGGCGATCCCATTGCTTTAGCCCCAGGCTGGACCTCTGCCATTTGGCTGTTCAGCTACTTCCTGTGACGCCCACTCATTACCTTCTGCATGAACATGAACAGGTCTGATCTAAACCAAATTCTCCAGGCCTGGAAACTCTTGCTGTACCCCAAGGGGCTTCTCAGTGACCCTGGGGCAAGCTTGCCTTTGCCCAGTGATTAGCTCCAGGACATGCTGTGTGGAGAAGGATCAGGAGGTCAGAGTCCCCCCACAGACGGAATTTATACTGGCTGGCCTTATAGAAAGGAGGCTTAGGAGACCAGCAAGGATCTTGACATTCAGCAGGCACCCAGTGTCCCTCTACATCCTGCAGCTGTTTATGAGGCTCCTGGCATGGTTGTAGAAGCTGGCGGGCTGCTCCTCCGCCAGGGCTCTCACAGGGGTAAAGGGACTTTCTATGGCTGTTGGAACCCATAACCTGGCAATTCCAAGTCCCTAAAATAAATTTTTATTTACATTTTTTAAAAATTTTACAAATCAGCTTTCAATGGTTAATATGAAAAGAAAATAATCTTGTCAAATAAATAAATCCAGTGGGATTCAGACACATAAATGAAAAAAATAAAATAAAAAAGAAAGGAAGGAAGAAAGGAAGAAAAGAAAAAAGAAAGAAAGAAAAGAAAAAATGAAAAAGAAAATTTAATTGCAACTCTTAAGACCCCAGGTGCTCAGAATAGGGCCACTTGAGGGTTTTCCAGGCCAATGCTAAGTAGTCCTAAGAATGGTTATGGTGTGACAGCGGCAAAGGTATTTCAGTTAGAAATGTAAATGCTGGATTTGGAGGGCGAGAACGTTTTCTGACAGAATTGAGCAGCCAGGTGTTCTCACCACGTCCCACAAAACACCAAAGTCTCTGAAGTCCCGGGCAACTTTCCTCTACTGGCGATTCCCACGCGGAGCCGCCTTCCCCTGCTGGGCTGCAGCAACCCAGGTCCTCCCAGGTCTCCTGGCCCCGCGGTGCATCTGCGATGACAGATGGGGGACCCCACTCTCTCCAACAACCGAACCCTAGCCCGAGATTCCTCTCCAAGCTCTCAACTCCAGCACACGATTGGAACTTGGCATGTCCCAACCTCGGCGTTACTTCCTCGGAAAGAAGGACCCTGGAAAGGGTTGCGGGGACACTGACCTGGGAAGCCCGCGCTCCAGGGCGGGCGAGAAGCAGCAGGAGAAGAATGAGCGCGCGCGGAGATCCCGGCCCCATCTTGCCCAGCACAACCTGGCTGCTGGGGAAGGCAGGTCGCTGCTCCCTGGCTGATACTGAGTCCCTGCAATGCGCAGAGTCCCTTGCAGCTCCCACGGCCACCAGCGTCCTCAGCTGCCTGCACGAGACTGTCCGGGCGACGCCGAGAGGCGCCAGTCCCGTGGTGGAGGCCGAGAGAGGAGGGGCTGCAGAGCCTGGAATGCGACTGGGAGCACGCCCAAGCCACGACTCCTGGGAGGAGGCTGGGCGCGACCAAGGGTGGCCGATGCCCACCCTGGACTGCCCTATTGCCCACTGTCCCCACTTCCCCCCGCGGGAGCGACCCAGGATTCCGCCACCACACGTGGCTGATTAATGAGCCAAAGTTAAGTCTGTGCTACCTCAAAGCCCACACAAGGACACCTTCCTCCAGGACAGCGAAGAACAAGGCTAGTGTAGCCGGAAGAGGGACTTCATAAACTTGGCCTAGGTTAGACCACGTCTTCTTAAACTGTGGGCTGAAATACGGGAGTTGAGTTGCTGAATTTAGCAAATGGTAAAAGCACAAAACCACCAATTAATTCAGGATCAAATATAATGGATCCAAGGTGTTCTTGGTCTCCGTGACTGGCACTTGTCGTGAATGAGACACCTAGGACACTGGGCTCAGATCACAGAATATTTATGTTATGAAATGCAGTGTTTTTACTGTACACCCACAGTTTCCTGCCACTTTGTGCTACAGAGTTAATATGAAGTGGTGTTCTTTGTGTGACAATTATCAAACTACCAATCAATTTGGGGAAAAAAATGTTAGAAATGCTTCTTGTTCTTCAATATCAAATATTCAGACAAGATTTAGTTCTCCATGTAAAGCATATTCACACCAAATTCCCTTTTATCTTTAATAAATGGTAAGATTATATTTATAGCAAAGAATTACTTTAAATTAAGCTTACTTTTTTTTTAAAAAAAAAAAATAGTACTCCCCAGGGTTTTAGAATTACACACACCCAGTGACTTAAGAATCTACAGCCTTTTTTCTAGTTTGCAGTCTATTTCCCAAGAGTTTCAAGTAGGAGACTAGTTATAGAAACTCACTAAGGTCTGGTTAGGTAATAGCTCTTGGATGGACAGGCACAAAGTTAAACCCCAACACCCAGGCTATAGGCAAACCAGATGCTTCAGATCTCCAACCCTGGAAAATGTAACTTAGTTCTTCCTGGAAGAAGATCTTGTTTAGCTCACTCTGATTGTACAGATGGTTCTGAAGCCCACAGCCCCTGACCTGGAGCTGTTTTCAATGGAAGGCAGAAAGGCAAGCTGGGTGTCCTCCCTTGGCCTGTGAGAGCTGCTGTAACAAAGGTACCACAGACTATGCAGTGTCTAACAATACAAATGTGTGCCTAGACTCCGGGAGCTAGAAAGTCAAGATCAAGGTATTTATTGGAAGATTTGGTGTTAATGAGGGTTTAAGTCATCCTCACTTGCGGGGATAGGTAGAGGAGGGAGTTCTTTGAGGCCTCTTTTTTGAGGGAGGCATGGTGGGTGGGTTCTCAAAACAGAGTTTCTCCATGTAACCATGGCTGTTGTGGATCTTGTTCTGTAGACCAGACTGGCCTGGAACTCAGAGACCCACCTGACTCTACCTCCTGAGTCCTGGGATTAAAGATGTGTGCCACCCCTACCCTGCATAAGACCTCTTTTGTAATACTATAGTGATTTAATTCAGAAATATCCTAAGGCCACATCCCCTAATACTACCATACTGAATTGGGAGTTCAAAACATGACCATAGCCAGTTCCCTGGAAAGCATGGATCATGGGGCATTGGGCATGGGGCCTGGGGACCACCCAAGCTTGGCTATCCAACAGATCCCACTGAGCTGTTTCCTCTGGCTCCCTGAAGCAGAGCAAGGTCCGTGTCCTTGTGCTTTGAAAGTCTTGCAGAGAGACCTAGTCAGAACACTGCTTGTCACTGTCCAGGTGGAGGGGAAAGGACAGCAGCCAAACCAGGGTAGCCCGTAGAGATGATGGGCTTCCGTGTCAGTCCCAAATGTGTCTGCTGTCTGTGGGAGAGCCACCCGTTTCCTGGCTGCGCTCACCTCTTGTGAATGAAAGGTTCCATTCTACTTGGAGTGCCTATTTATTTTGAGTTTTATCCTGCCCCATATTTACATGGCAACCTCCAAGCACTCTTGGTTGGTTCTGATTGCATACTGGACACTAGGAACTGGGCAGATGTGAGCAAGCCCTCCTTTCTCACCTTTTACATTCTCCTCAGAGTCATAAAGCAGACCAGATCTCACAGAGGAAGAGAAGAAACAAAGTATGTGGTGGCTTATCTTCATCATCAGCTTTGCAGGGTTTGAAATCTCCTAGGAGACACACCTCCAGAGTGTGCTCCCAACGAGCTTAAATTAGGAGAGAAGACCTGCCCTGAATGTGGGGATGGTACCACCCCTGGCCCGGGGGTGGGGGACTGGACTGAGGGAGAGAGGGGAAAGAGGAAGCAGGGTAAACTGCATCCTTCTCCACTGTGCTCCACAGAATGGTTGGTGACCAGCCTGGGGTATGCAGCTCAATTCTAATGTCCCCTCTCAGAAAGGCCTTTCAGAACATTCCATCTTGACCTAATCCTCTCTTAACTTTTAGGACTGACTCTCAGGACTTCTGGTGATTTTACTTAAAGGGATGCCTCTTGGTTTTGTTGTTTTGCTTTTCTAATGTTTCTAAAAGTCAACAGAAATTTTTGCTTTTGAGTTGCCCTTGTTTGCTAACTTCCATTTGTGACCTCTGTCGTAAGGCTGACTCCCTTTAGTGCTCGCTTAGGCTTCATCTGAATTTTCTGAGGTCTGGCTGCCCTTCTCTCTCTGTCCTCAGCTACCCTGATCTGCAGGGACCACAGCGGATGCCCCACAAGCAGAACACGCCAAGGCTGCCTCAGAAGTGGCTCGAGGCTGGCACGATGCTCAGTGGTTTAGAGCACTGACTGCAATACAGAGCACCCAGGTTCAGTTCCCACTACCTGTGTGGTAGCTCACAACCATCCCTCCTTCCAGTCCCAGGAGATTCAATATCCTCTTCTGGCCTTCGTGGCCACCTGGCATATCTGCGGTGCACATCCATACATTCAGGCAAAACACTCATAAAATAAAATAAATCTGAAAAGGAGGTAGCTCTGAAGACAAGCTCTACAGTTAGGGATTCCCTCTGGCTTAACACAATGGGCCTGTTTTGCTAGTTTGCTCCCTCTATTTCCCCTCTTCAGGAGACTATCTGGGGGCACTGGTAGGCTGTTTTGGAGCCAGTGAGGTGACTTGGCTAATAAAGGTTCTTGTCACCTGAGGCTGATGACCTGAGTTTGATCCTTTGGGTCTACACAGTAAGATAGAACCAAAATTCCACAGGTCGTTCCCCACCCTCCACATGAACAACATCATGTGTGCATGATGACACCGCACAAGCCAGGCTTGGAAGCACATACTTATAAAACCTGCACTTAGGAGGTGAAAGCAAGAAGATTCAAGGTCATCTTCAGCCACATAGTGAGTTTGAGGCCAGCCTGGGATACGTGAGAATTGCTGTGTCGTCCCCAGCTCCCTGTAAGATATGAAAATGCAAAGAGAAGTTGGATTTTAATATTGATTAATATTTTCTCCCTTTCTAGATCAAAGACAACCTCCTATGTCATTCTTCGGGCACTTATACCTTTCTCTTTGGACAGAATCTCTCAATGACCTGGAATTTGCCAAATAGGCTAGGCTGGCTGGCTCCAGGATTGCCTGTCTCTGCCTCCTCAACACTGGAATTGTGCCCTACCATATCCTGGCTTTATATATGTGGCTTCTGGGGCTCAAGCTCAGGTCCACAGGCTTATAAGGTAGGCATTTTACTGCATGAACAATCTCAGCATTTAAAATTCTACTCATTCATTCATTCATATCTGATGGGCTCTTTCTAGGTAGCCCAGACTATGGTTATAGAAACCACACTATTCCTGCCTGAAAGAGAAAGATTTGTAGTAGATACCTATGTGAAGACCTAGCCACTGGCAGTATACAATGGAAAACAGTGATTCTAGGGCTGTCAAGTGAGGCCCCCATGGTCTCTCAGGGTGCCAACATCATGTTGCCTCCTTCATAATCCATCTGTGTCCCAGTCCGTCAACACAGTCACAGCTCCACATCTATCTGTGGCTCTAAGTGTTATCAAGCCTCTAAGAAGCTTCTCCGAATGGTTGAAGGAACAAAGGCTGGCATGTTAGTCGACCAGGGATAACAGGGCTAGAAGAGGGAGGGGATCACTCAGCAGGAGAGCCATGACTTCATCCAATTCCTTCATTATACAAATATTTATCAAGTGCCAACTCCAGGCCTGGCCCTGAGCCAGGCGCTACATTATGCTCACACATTATATCCAGAGCGTTGGCCAGCAAGCCATACATGTAGGACATTGAAGACATTGTCTGCCTGTGTACAACATCAGGACAGACAGTGGAAGCTGCTGCCTATGCCCTGAAGACCATTTCCAATCTTACAAGATGAATGCCTGCTACAAAATAAAAAGGCCAGACTTCATTGTGTCATAATTATAGACCAAGCATCATTCAGTGTCTGCCAAGGCGAATGAGACTTTGAAAATCCACAGATGCCATTCCACAATGAAGTCCAAATGTCTGTGGAAGGGGCAGAGTAGTGGTCTCGGTTGGTGGATGATGTCGTTCATGGAGCCAGGCATGCCTGAGCCAAACCTCATCATCTGGAGATACCAGGGGGGACTTGGAACTCTCCATTTCTTTGCAGGAATCTTTTTCTTCATTTATATGAGAATAAAATCATTTATCAGAATCAATAAGTTTTCCTAAATAATAAAGAGTCGGACATGATGGAGTTGGGAAAAATAACACTATGGATGGTTGAGGAAGCCATAGAAAATTATTATTATTATTATTATTATTATTATTATTATTATTATTATTATTATTAGTTTTGTTTTTTGAGGCAGGGTTTCTGTGTAACAGCCTTGGCTGTCCTGGAACTCTCTCTGTAGACCAAGTTGACTTCGAACTCATCAAGATCTGCCTGCCTCTGCCTCTCGAGTGCTGGGAATAAAGGTGTGCACATGGCTGCCCTGCTAGGAAATTAAATTATTTTATCTTTACTCAAAGTTATGTAATACCTCTCTCTCTCAATTGAAGTTACTCCACTTGGGGCAATAATGTTCCCTCCTCTAAAAGTCAGAGGACATCTAACAAAAA